TTAGCCATTCTTTCTGGAGTGAACTGGAAGCTCAGTGTTGTTTTACTTGGCGTTTCTCGAATAGGCAGAGATGTTGAGCATTTTTTCTTGTTTATAGACCATCTGTGCTGCTTCTTCTGAGAAGTGTTCATTTCAGTTGCCCATTTTTTGATTGAGTCGTTTATTTGGGGTGGTCTAGTTTTTTTTAGTTGTTTATGTATTCCTGATATTAGTCCTGTGTTCAAGGAATAGCCTATTTTTTCCTAGTCTGTAGGTTGTCTTTTCACTCTGTTAGTTGTTTCCTTTGGCATGCAGAAACTTTAATTTGATGTGATTCTATCTGTTGATTGTTGCCCTTTGTTTCTTGTTCTACTGGTGGTCCCAAAGTTCAGAAAGTTCTTGTCTACATCTAGGACTTCAGGAGTTTTACTTATTTTATCTTCTAGCAGATTAAGTGTTTCTCTTTCAACATTTAGATCGTTGATCCATTTTGATTTTAGCTTAGTACAGGGTGAGAGATGTGGGTCTGGATTCAATCTTGCGTATGTGGACAGCCAGTTTTCCCAGCACCATTTGGTAAAGAGCCGATCTTTCCTCCAGCATGAGTGCTTGGCCCCTTTGTCAGAGATCAGACGGCTGAGTGTGAAGGCTAAGGTCTGTCTCCTTGCCTTTTGTGTTGGTCAGGCCTCAGGCTGCTCACCGATCAGTGCCAAGGTGCTGGGAGACCCTGTGGAAGAGAACTGTCTCCCAAACAAGGCTCTGGAGGAAAACCTAGAGCTTCACTGCGGAGCAGCTCTCTACATGTGTGTGGACGTCACCCGTAGGAAACATCAACCAGCCCCCAAGTTCGGGGTTAGTTTCGGCGGAGCATTTGGATTCTGCACAGGAAGTGCTCTGCCTTCCCGGAAAGGGTTGGTCCCCGTGGCGCGTGCTGTGGCCACCACCACGCCTCTCGTTCTAGGAAGGAGCAGGAGGAGCTGGACACGTTCTTGCTCATTCTGACTGACGCGTGGTCTGTGCAGAGGAGGCTGGGAATGGACGCATCACGTGACGGGACACGTGCCCAGCGTTCCCAGAGCTGTGCTGGGCGTTGCGTCCCAGTCTTGGCCTTGGCTCTGCCCCTGGCTAACTGAGAAAACTTGGGTGGGTTTCAGTGTTTCTCATAAAATAAGGGGTTTTGAGAAGTTGGCATGAAATGTTCCATCTCATAACAAATTATAGAACTGTGGTGCCAGAAGTCAGTGAAGGACGGTAGCATTCAGAAACAATCACTGCACGATTTTAAGCTATTTTTAGACGGCCAGGGAACAGCTCTTTTGGGTCCATATCTCATTTAAACTGTAGAATGACAACTCTTCATCTTTGACTTAAGATTTTCTTTTTGAAAACATATGTTTCCATTACATTTTATTCAGCATAGTCTGAAGATTTAATTATTATTTTTTATTTTAAGTTTTTAATTTTTAATCTTTTGGTACCAGGGATTGAACTCAGGACCTTGGGCCTTAGAGGCAGGCGTGGTGCCACTGAGCTAAATCCCGGGCCCCTGGAGATTCATTTTTATCTCAGACATTTATTAGTCTTTCCAAAACCCACTTGGTTAGATAATAGTTTCAAGTTGTGTACAGTGAAGTTCTCATTTCTGTTTGAGATTATAGCAATTCAAATACCAGCGAGAATTATTTGTTATGTTAATATAAATATAACCATGGAATTTATTGTTCCAAGTCACTTGAGGCTTTCTCAGAGAGTAGAAATTTGGTACAACTGCTGTCTTTCAGCTATGGGCAGTAGTCACAAGTTGAATATTTACTTGTTTTTTTCCAACAAATGGTGGTATCTGTTGACACAGTGATGGGAAAAGTGGTGCAGGTATCTGAGCTTTCTAAATAATATTTTACACATTTAGCATAATGCAAGCTACAGAGGGGAGCTTGATACATTTTTATTGAATGAACGAATGAATAAGTTAATGGGTGGATGATGTCCACTATGGAAAAAAGATAAGATCTTTAAATCCAAAAGAGAATTTTTAGTTATTTCACTGTGATCTGTATAAAGCACATTAAGTTATATGAAGTCTCTACCAGCCATTATCCTTCCAGTGGTAACTTAGTCTTTACCCCCTTTCCAGTTTTCGGGAATTTACTTACCAGAGTAATAAAAACTACGTACACAAATGTGATGTTATTTCTGAGACACGCGTTCTGAAGGTAGCGTCAGAACAAAGCTGCAACACTTACAGGTACCATTTGTTTAAAAAAATGTTTTTCGGGCCTGGAGGTGTAGCTCAGTGGCAGGGAACTGGCCTAGCGTGCATGAGGCCTAGTTTAAGGCTCAGCACTGAAAAAAAATCCCAGTAAAATAAATACAATTTTTCATGGCTCTAGCCAATAGGAATGCCCTTTTTACTTCCCATGTAAACAGCCCCGGGGCAAGCTGGTAACGTGTGTTTGGATGTGTTGCAGAAAAGAAGTGCCTGTCTCCAGGCGGGGCGGGCACTGCAGCTGGGCGGGGCTGAGTGTGCTGGGACTTGTGCCCGGGCGGGGCCGCTTGGGGTGCGGCACCTCCGAACCGAACCCCTGTTAGGCCGTGGGCTTGGACGGGTCCCTAGGAGCGTCCGTCGCTCGTGCACTCAGGTCCGCCGGCCTCAGAGGGTGCTGTGCAGCCCCGAGGGGGTGTGTGGAGGTGCTCTGACCCGGGTTGGAGGACAGCTCGCTGCGGGGCAGAGGACGTGAGGCGGGGTAACCGGGAGAGGGTTTATTCATGAGTGAGAAGCGTGGTTACCCACTTGAAAGTGGGAACATTTCACATAAATCCTCGCGGAGAATCCGCACACACGCCCGCGACTCGAGCTCCAGGAGCAGTGGTTGACTCTGTGGTCCTCATCCTCCCTGCCGGCCCCTGCCTAATGCCCACCTGAAGCATCGCCTCTCCTGAGTTGTTTCAATCACTTTGCTGCTTAAATAATCTGTTCAGCCTACCGTGATGTTGAGTTTTATTTACATAAAATCACACGGCATATATTTCTTCTGTGGTTTTTTCTCTCCTAATATCATGACTGCAAAGTTGATATACAAACGTAGAGTTTGAATTCCTTCGTATTTTCGCTGTTGTTTTATTTCCCATTGCTCGAACACAGCACAGCCTATTTTTTTTTTCAAACTGGAGATTGAATGCAGGGTCTTCACACTGAGCTACATCCCCATCCTTTTTTCTTTCTTATTTATTTATTTTCAACCTTTTTAATTTTGAGACAGGGTCTCACTAAGTTGCTAAGTTGCCCAGGCTGTAACCCTCCTGCTTCAGCCCCCTAGAGTGTTGACATTACAGGTGTGTGCAATATCAGGCCCTGCTCATCGTCTTAATGGAAGTATATTGTAAATACGTATCAGAACACAAAGTGTTCATTAATTCTTACATCTTCAAAATTTGATATTCAAATCATTTAAGGTTTTGAGTTTTGTCACAATTCTGTTTCCACACAGCCCCAGGGAATCCTTAACTACTACACAACACAGACAGCAAATAGGAAAATCTGTGTTCCTCTCACCCTCCTGGGCCCATGAAGCTGGACAGTAGCCTCGCCGTCTGTGTTTTCTAAGAAAAGAGACCAGTGGTTTAATAATCTCACATTTCCTTGGCTGTGCAGCTTTGATTCCCCAGTGAAGAATCTTCCCACGAGGCAGATATATCGACAAGATCTTGGTATAGCGGCTTCTTAGTGCTCTCGTAGTAGGTCTGGAATCATTCACGGCGCAGGCACACTGGCTACAGAATCTGATCACAACAGAAACAGGCACTTGGTGACTCACGAGGAGGTAGGGTTAGTGGGACAGAGCGGCCCCTGACAGCCAGATGCCTGCAGAGGTTCCTTCCAGAGGCCAGCAGGAAGTCATCTGGCAGGGGTCCACCTGCTGAGAACCTGAAGAGCTCACAGTACAGCGATTCTTTGCAGAACATTATTGAGCCAGAGAGAAAGGAAAAATTTTAATGCTTTTGCACTTATTAAGCATACATTAAAATTTATTGTTAAAAAAGAAATTATAACTTACAAACTGCCTTATTATTCAAAATATATTAGAAAGTAACAGAATGTATGTGTTCACAGTTTCTGCCAAGGTCGTCTTGATTTGTCTCAGGGCACTGGGATTAAACCCGGCATCGGCCTCACCCTGATGCCTTTCCAGTCATGACCTAGAGATCACTAATAACCCTGCTCTTATGGAGGAAGCCCCTTCGTGTGTTGCCTCCTCTATGGCTCCTGGTACCGCCTTCAAAATAGGGACAGGGACACACACACTGCATGGCCTGTGTGTCACATTCAACACATTCTAGACGGTGGTCAGGAAAAGATATCCTAGAAAAATTGGGGTTGCTGTGAGATCCTGTTGAGCTTAACAGTTTCCTATAGAGTTAATTGGACATGGTAGCTATCGGAAATACAAGTACTTGTTGGTGTATTCTTGGTAGTAACTTTTATATGCTTAGTGCCTGCGTTTCTTTAGAAGTTCGGTGGCTTCCTGACTCATAAGGTGTGTGTAAAGAGTTAGCAAGTCCTGTGAGTTCCCTGCACGATCGGGATCCTCTTCGCCTACTGAACTGTTTTCATCTTTTGCTCCTGGTTCCCTTTGCCACACTGGGGCACAGGAGGGGCCCACCTCCCATCCCGAGGTCTGAGCAAGTGTCATCGCTTTGTCTGGAACGCATACGGTCACCTGCAAATCTGCTCCAGATCGGAGTTGGACAACTTCTTCGGAGAAGCTGTCTCAGAGCCTGGCCGTGTCCCCCATTGGATTCCTTTCATTGCCATTGGGTGATTGTGGAGCTCTTTGTGGTGTTTTTTGCATTTGAGCTCCATCGAGCAGGAGCCTGAGGAAGGCATTTCTGGCTTCCCAGGGACTCACGGGGCTGTCCAGAGAGCGAGCCCAGCAGATGATCAATAAATGTTTACTGGAGCCATGAATATTGTGTGACTCATCGAAAGTTCAATGATACTATTTTTCTTTTTCTCTTTTCAGCTGGGAAGTCATCAATTCTAAGCCAGATGAAAGACCCAGACTCAGTCATTGTATTGCAGAATCGTGGGTGAACTTCAGCATATTTCTTCAAGAAATGTCTCTTTTTAAACAGCAGAGTCCTGGCAAGGCAAGTTTTCCCAGGGAGGAGTGTGTTTAAATGTGGCATGCACTTGGGGACAAACGAACTGACTGACTCTGTCTGACTCTGAATATACCAGGACCCGTGTCGTGAAAACCAGCGCCAGCAGGGCTTGAAAATGTTAGCACACGAGCCCCAGAGAACCTTCAAACTCCTGTTTGGAAGTCGTGTTAGCTTTATATTTTATACGTGTTTATTTGGGCTATTAATTGGAATGAATGATGCTTGGTCTTAACAGCCAAGCCAAAAGGGGAAAAGAAAAGTCTTATTAAGAATTTCATTGATGGCCGGGGATTTAGTTCAGTGGCATTGTGCGTGCCTTGCAAGCACAAGGTCCAAAGTTCAAGCCCCAGTTCCACAAAAAAAAAAAAATTTTTCATTGAAGCCAGATGTGTTGGGATGCACCTGTAGTCCTGGCACTCAGGAGGCTGAGGCAGGAGGATCATCACAAGTTTGAGGGCAGCCCGGGCCATATGGTGAGTTCAGTGGCAGCCTGCACTGCATAATGAGACCCTGTCTTAAACAGTCCCAGAAAAGGAAAAAAAAAAGTCTCATTGATAGCTTTCAGCCTGGTTCTGAAGAGTCAAAGGGAAATGAACGCATAGACCTGCAGCGACACGTTCAGAGGCAACAGAGTCTAACTGCCAAGCTAGGAAGTGGAGATTCTCATATGTTTTACTTGGGAAAGAAAACTTTTGGCAGAAGCAGTCAATGATTATGTACTTAGAACGGGCACTTTTGCAGTTAAGATGAAGACCACAGGGGGAGGAGTCTTCAGTGAGCAGAAAGGGTCACCCAGGGAAGGGTGGCACCATGTGCATGTGCAGACAGCTCCCACTGTGCGCGGCAGTCTGGTGGCTGCAGGAGCTGCAGAGCCGTCCACAGACCTTGTTTGTGCCATCGCTGCCTTCACGGTTGCCTTTCCCTCCCACCAAGCAGGACAGACTGGGGCTCAGGGAGACAGACGCTGCTACTGCCTGTGCGACACGGTCCGGCACTGCTGTTGCTCCATCTGATGGGCTCAGAGGCGCCTCACAGGGTCAGATGGCCTCTGATCGTAGGGTGCTGGACGCAGCACTTACAGTCTCCTCAGTGTGCTGTCTGTGGGCAAGCTTGTGGCTTCATCGGTGTTAGATAGGAGAACTGTGCTTGGAAATATTCTGAGCATATTGAAGTGGCATTGTGTTTGGGTTGATTTTTTAATCACTGGAGATAAATTTTAGAATAGATTTCCATATGGCAGGTGTATTAATTAGCTTTCCTATGACTGGGATGGAATACCCAAAACCCACAACTTAAAGGAAGAGAGGATTATTTTGGCTCACAGGTTAGAAGGGTTTAGTCCATAGTTAGCTGGCTCTGAAATGGCGTAGTGGAAGGGCCTGGCAGAGGACAGCTGCTCACCCCTTGGCAGTCAGGAAGCAGAGAGAGAGCAGAAGGAGCTGGATGGGAATTCACCCGCCCGAATCACTCCCTGGAGCTCCACCTCCTGACCAGGGTCCGCCTCCGAGTGAGACTTTTGGAGGATGTCTTAGGTCTGAACCGTAACAGCGGGCATGGTGTATTTTTGGTGCCTGTTTTACCCAAGTGGTTAAACATATTTTTGGAGAATTCTGAACTTCAGACTTCCACCCTGGATTGCCTCAGTGCATTCCAAGTCTGGTGGCTGAGGATGAAGGTGCTACAAAAGCTAAGGGTTAATAAGAAATCTCTTTCCAACACTTAGTTCTGGATATCATTGTGTTGTTATTGCTCCTTCCACCTCTACAGCTTTATTTCTTCCATTTCATGTCTAGAATTCCATATTCTTCCAAGGGCATTTGTTATCTCACAAATAGCTCTTAATTTTGCTGTACAAGTTCATCTGTTCTGTTTTATTTTATTAACTCTGTGCCAAAGAATGAAGTTAACCTGAAATTTAGACTGCTTACCCTCTCCCTTAATCAGTTATTGGGGAGAGGTATGTATTCCTTCTTCATGTGGTTTTTGAAAGCCCCTTAATGCATTTTCCTTGCTTGCTTATCATCGTACTCTAATACCATCATGTAAAGATAGGATAAAAAACAAAAGGTTTAGACTGAAGTGTGAGAATTAAGTGAAGACTTTACAGGGAAGGTTTTTCTGTCTTGATGTTTCTAATGGGTAGTAGGAAAACTTTCTGTAGACTGTTTTTAAATTTCTTAAAACTACCAAGATTTTGCTGTCATTGTAATTGGCAGAGAAAAGGAAAATAATAAAATTTCAATGTAAGAGTTTCGTTTCATTTACAGTTGGTTTCTAGGCAGTCGAGAAGTGGGTGGATATTGTTAGAAAGGAGCGTCCCAGAGGTTTACCACTATGCAAATAGCATGAGATTTGTATAGATGCTTCTAATCGTTCTAACATGGTTTGCTGTATTTATGAATTTCTGTAGGTTACACTGGTAGCTTGAAGTTTCAGATTTAATTATATCAGATTGCATCACTTTTATTAAATGATGCTGAGGAAGAGGATTCTAGGAACACCAGTGACTCTTCGGGTCTCTTGCACCTGGCAGTAATTCAGCCACTAATGGGATACATTATTTTTAGTTGCAGAAATGAGCTCCTCTGCCTTATAAATGATTATTTCCAAGTGTTAAAATGAACCGAGCTTGTTGAATGTCCCTGAATGAGTGCAAAGAATACTGTTTGGAACATATTTGCCATAATCCAATAGGCCTCGTATAAATAAATAACGGCATGTGTATTCTGTGCTCTGAAATGTCTTTCTGTGGCAATAACTGTCCCATTTTATTTCTGTTACTTGCAGTTTTGTCTCCTGGTCTGCAGTGTGTGCACATTTTTTACAATCTTGGGAAGTTACATTCCTGGGGTTATCCTCAGCTATCTACTGTGTAAGTATAGTAGAACATTTGACTGATTGCTTTGATGCAAATGTCATCACTTAGTGGCCAACAGAGTTTCCATGGTTTAGAAGAGGAGGCATGAGTTCTTCGCAATAACAAGTTGATTATTTCTTAATATCTTGCTGTACAAAGTTTTTCTTTTTTCTTAGAGATATTTTGGGAAGAAAGCTGCAAAAGGCACATTAGAAGTAAATACTTTTATTTTAAATTACGTCAGTAAAACTATAGATAAGCTGCATGCCCTACCACCCAAATGCATCAATACTTTGTCCTTTTTGCATGTTCTATAGTTGAAAACAGTAAAACCACAAAGAGATATCATTGTATGTACTTCCGCCAGAATGGCTAAAATTAAAACCAACAACCATATGAAGTATTAGCAAGAAGACAGAGCAAGTGAAATTCTCACATAGTGAGGTGGGGTGGCAGTTTCTGCTGTGTGACTCAGCCATCCCACAGCTAGGTAGCTGCCCAAGGGAAATGGAAACCCACATCTCCAGAGATGCATACACAGATGTTCACAGCACAATTATTTGTATAGCCTGAAGTGCGATACACCCTATATGGCCATCAATAGATGAATGGACAAACTCTGGTATATCCATATAATGGATTACTACTGAGCACTACACATTGATACATGCAATACTAGGCTAAATCTCAAAACAGTTGGGCTGAGTGGAAGAAGCCACGTAAAGAGTTATGTACCGTAGATTCTGTTTGGATGCAATTCTAGAAAATTCAAAGTACTCTTTAGTGACCAAGCAGATCAGTGGTTGCCTGGGGTTGAGCTGTATGGGGCAAGGAGAAGCAGGATGCAGAAGGATTAATAAAAACATGAAATGTGACAGAGGTGAGTAGGTATCTTCTTGGCCCTGGTGATGGGTTTGTGGTTACACGAATATGTCAAAATTTATCATATTGTACACTTTCTGTGTAATCTATCGTACGTCAGCTATAACTAAAAATGTCATTATGAAGTCTAGCTTTCCTGAAAGATATGAAGGTCTGACACTGCTACCTTTTGGTGAGGCAGGCGGTCTCAACTAACCAGATTTGCCTAAAGGTACTCAAGATACTTCAGTTTTGCAACTCCTATTTTAAAAGGTAACAGGAGACATCTCCTAACTCTAACAAGGAAGTAAGCACCGGGGAATACAGTGCGTCCAGCATGGTAATCTTTATCTCACTTTGTATTCCTAATGCGTAACACAAATGGCTCAAATCGAGTCTTCCGGATAGAACTCGCATAAACCATCAGCCTCTTGATCTGCATTATTTAGGAGGCAGAGGAGAATAGTGCAGGGGAAGGAGAAATATGAGCAAGGCACTTTTCACATGGCTTGAATTTATCTCATGTAGCAGACCAACTTCCAGCAAAGTGACCCCGGTGTTACTGATGTCAGACAGAGATGATAGCAGGTCTCCTGCAGCAAAATGCCACATAGAAAACAGTGGTGAGGTTCTAACCCGGGGCAGTTGTCTGGACAACATAGGAAGTTTCTGTAGGTTTTCAGGGTGAAAGGATTGAGGGGAGAAAGGTGATCTAATTGCAAGTCTAAAAAAGTGACCGTGAGCATGGGGTGTGTGTGTGTGTGGGTGTGTGTGTGTGGGCGTGGTGTGCAGTAAAACATGTTTTCATGACGGGGAGAATAGAAATTAGGAACTTATTTCACAAAGGCGTTTTCTTTAAAAAAGAAAAACTTCTATTTTTCAACAAAGAAAATTTAGTGTTTTGTGAAATAGTGAAAAAGGATGTTTTACCTTTACTTTCTTCCTCCTTATATTTCAGTACTGTTTGCGTTTCTATGTCCACTGTTTAAATGTAATGATATCGGACAAAAAATATACAGCAGGATCAAGTCAGTTCTGTTGAAACTAGATTTTGGAATCGGAGAATATATTAATCAGAAGAAACTCGAGAGGGCTGGTAAGTAAAGTTTGAATCTTAGAGTCCGTGCCTGAGATGACACGCCAGCAGCCTATTGCGAGATTGTCGACAGAGTTTAGGGCAGAAGCCCTGGCTCTGGTCGTCCCTGACTAGGCCGGGCTGCCCATCCCATAATGCCCACAGGGAGACGAGCAGTGGTGAAGGGCGCTTTGATCAGCGTGGCCAGGCCAGGAAGCTCGGGTGAAAGAGGCTCAGGATGGGTCTTGGAGGGGCCGACAGACACGGGTTTGTAGGAGGCAGTGCCGCTGGGCCCCCGCACGTCAGGACTGATTGTGTGGGGGCGGGCAAGCCCTCCTCGCTAGAGGGCTGTGGTGCCCATCCCAGGACGGCTTCTGCTGCGGGGCAGCCTTGCTCCCACCTGGGGCTCTGTACCTCCTGGGGGCGACTGGACCCTGCTTATCCTGGCCTCTGAGGTGGCTGCGAGGTTCAGGACTGGAAACTCCTAGGCATTGCTCCAGGGAGTCTGGACTGGGTGTTGTAAAAGCTGGCCACTAGATGTCCCTGCCAATCCCTAAAAAGACTTTAGTTGCTCTTATCTCAGGTTTTGTTTTGTTTTGTTTCTGTTTTGGTGGTGGTGATACTGGAGATTGAACCCAGGGTCTTTGCTCTGAGCTACATCTTTTCTTTTCTTTTCTTTCCTTTCCTTTTCTTTTCTTTTCTCTTTTTTCTTTCTTCAGGGTCTTTCTAAGTTGATAAATTGCTCAGGCTGGGCTCTAACCTGTGACCCTCTTCCCACAGCCTCCCAGGGTGCTGGGATCATAAGCGTAGCTACCACGCCCGGCTGATCAGTGTGTCATACAGACACCCCTTAAATGAGCGCCCTGCCCACCTGCACAGCGGAGCCTGGACCTGACCCTCGCTGTCAGGTCCTAGGGAGACACCTGAGGTCAGGGCAGAGATGTCCCACTCCACCTGCTTTCATTTACACCTTTACACCTGCAGGCCCAGCTCCCAGGTCCTTGCTACAATGGCCTTTAATACATTTTAGGGTGCTTTGGGTTTCTTATTAAATATTATCATAGAAGCTACCCTTCCCCCCAGGTAATCTATGTAACTTTTTCCTTTTTAGGCTTTTACACTTTTCTCAAACATAGTTAAGTAAATTGACTTTTAAATCCCAGTTTTTGAGGGAGGAAGGCTTTGCCGAGTATGTATTTTGCCATTTATGATTTCCTTTATCTTTGGCTAGTCTACTGTATTGCAAATAAAAATCAGCAATAGGGATGAGTGTGGAAGTCACGTGAGACTGGGCTCAAATAGCCAGAGGAAGAAATCACAGGAAAAACCAGTGTGATGGTTTTGACATCCCACCTCAGCTGTGACTTACAGGTTATCAGTGCATGGTGTGTGTCAGCGTGGCCTGGAGGACTTAAAAAGGCCAAATTGTGTGTGAGTCTCGTATTCAATGCCGTCAGATGGGGGGCCAGAGAATTTGCATTGCTAAGAGCTTCCCGGGCAGCAGCTACTGGTTGGCTGCAGAATTGCTAATATGGACCATTGCCTTTGGAAATCAGACATCTTCCAAATATGCAGGGCTTCTTATGATTTGCAAACATGTAAAGTTTCTATTTTAAGGGGCTTTTTTTTTGGTCTTTTTTTTCTTTTTTCTTTTTTAGTATCGGGAATCGAACTGAGGGCCTCATGCTTGCCAGACATCAAACATGTAAAGGTTCTTACGTGCAAACATGTTTTTTTCTATACTGGGGGTTGAATGCAGGGCCTTTGCACTAAGTTGTATCCCTGGCCTTTTTTATTTTTTACTTGAGACAGGGTCTCATAAACTCACTAAGTTGCCTAGGTCGGGGTTGAACTTGGTGATCCTCCTGTCTCACCCTCCTAGAATGCTGGGACTATAGGCGTGTGTGCCACCACACTCATCTTGTGCAGATATTTAACTATCTGGAGACATTGAAGTATATGGGGAGTGTGGGGTAAGAATATATAATAAAATAAATACACCATGTCTAAGCTGGCCAGGAAACTGAAAGCTTCCCATTTTTTTTTCTCAACAGAAGCAGATAAAGAAAAGAGTCACAAAGATGACAGTGAATTAGACTTTTCTGCTCTTTGTCCTAAGGTACTTTGTTTAGTTCTCAATTTGTTTCTGTGGTTTGACTGTACATTTATTTATGTGAACCAAAGCTGAATGATTTTCCAGATAGATTTGGTCATCTGAACAGCCTCAAAGGAAAATACTCACCTGTTTTTATTAGTATGACATTGGGGCCATGAGTGTCGATTTTTCAGAAAATTTTCCTTTGCAATTTACAATGTGCCACTGTGTTTGTATTAACGCAGATCAGCCTTACAGTTGCTGCCAAAGAGTTATCAGTGTCTGACACAGACGTCTCAGAAGTATCTTGGACCGATAATGGGACCTTCAACCTCTCAGAAGGATACACTCCACAGACAGATACTTCCGATGGTAGGCTAGCCTTTCTAGATAGACTCTTAGTTTTATTATTCAGTACATGTAAAAACATTTCTGTCGACCACTAAATAAATAATATAGTTTGGTATATTGGAATTAATACTTGCTGTAAAAATGAATGAAGTTCTAATTCTTATTACAGCATGGGTGGATCTTGAAAACACCATGCTGGGTTGGGGATTTAGCTCAGTGGTTTCACCGCCTGCTGTGCAAGCGCAAGGACCCGACTTTGATCCCCAGTACCAAAAAAATAAATAAATAAATAAACTATGCTGAGCAAAAGATGCTAAAGATAAAAGGTTACACATTGTATAATTCCCTTAATAGGAAATGTCCAGAAGAAGCAAATCTGTATAGAAAGAAAGTAGCTTAGTGGTCACTAGGGACATGGGGCAACAGTTAGTTGGTAGGAGTTTCTTTTGGGAGTAAGAAAAATTTCCAGAATTGGTGTGATGAATATACTAGAACTTCCTTAATTATATACTTTAAAAAAGTGGATTTATGATGTTACTATCTCCAATACTTGTTACTTTTTAAAAAGTATGAGAAAAAAATCTTAGTCATGTCCAAATCTACCTTTATTTTGAAAATAAAAAATTAAAAAAATTCCCTCCTGAAATGTCTGGAAGCATTGCTTATAGCATTAATAGGAAAAGAGAAAAAGAAAAGCTAATCCTATATAATCAGACCTCATATTCTTTAAAAGAGATGAAAGTGTGGGGCCGGGGATTTAGCTCAGTGGTTCCAGTCCCTGCCTCGCAAGCACAAGGTCCCAAGTTTGATCCCCGGTACCAAAAAAAAAAAAAGTGGAGGGCAGGTTCTCTAGAGTCCAAAGCTAACTCTGAAGTTCTCATACTTGTTTTCAAAGTTAAGTAAGTTACTTTGCTTTCACAATAGGTTAAATACAATTTAAATGAGTACATTATTCTTTATGGTGCTTTTTGTAAATTCCATCCATATAAATGGAGACAAGGCTTGTGCAGTGACTTTCCTTTCGCTGGTCTCCCTGGGTAATTTTCAGTGGTCCCAGCCACATACTGAACATATGAGATCACAAAGGAAGAGAATCAGTAGCCTGTTTCATACTGACTTTGTACAGGAAGGAGGGAGGGGACTATACCATGTTTGAAAGAAGACGTTTTTGGAGACTTGGAGACCCAAGTACTATGTCATCTTGCCTCAGATGCCACTAGCTGACTGTGTGGTCTTGGACGGGTGACACAGTCACCATGATCTCCACTGCCTTGCATGTCAGAGTAAGAGGAGCCCTGAAGTTCACTTGTGCGGTGTCAACTTTCACTGTCTACACCTGAGTTCACAGTTTAAATGCTAAGATAGGAAATGCTTCTTATGCATCCATCTTAGATTTATATAGTAAAAGGAAACCCACATGTAAGGCTGTCTTTACTAGAACTGAAAACTTCAAATCACTGCTGTAAGGAGTTAACTGTACTAAAAAATATTCTATAAAAATCAGCTTGCCTCATAATCTGATACTGCTTTCAGATGTCCTGAATGTAGGCATGCTCAGTTTTAGCGGTAGTTATAAAGAGGACCAAATGTTTCCATGAGCTCTCGGGTTGAGTGGGAATACTAGGGCCAGTAGCTTCTTTTTGTTGCTTTAAACAGACACAGGTTACAAGTCCTATTTCTATGTATGGAAATGCTGAGGCTGGATGAACTATATTTACTCTTTGATGTACCAGAATCTGTGAATGCCTGCAATTCAAGTATTTTTTTTCTTTCATGACCATACATACCCCCATTGGCTTAAGGTGATTCCCATGTTAGAAGGAAGGGATTTTTGTGATATATCCTTAATCTTTAGTTAAATCCTCCAGATCACATCAGAGAAGTTTCAATATTAAGTCATATACACAGCTTGTGCTTAAGAGGAAAGCAAAAGATGCGGAGGACACATAGTATTTGTGTGTTTGTGGAGAGACAGTGTCACAGATTGGGGAGAGTTCCAGAATATGGTTAAAATGATTCCTGTTCACTCAGCAGGCTTGGGGAGGGCCAAGGTGGCTTGGAAGGGTCAGATCAAAGACAGCTTTTAACAGATTTCATATTTGTTGGGGTGCGTAAGCATGAACTTGTGTTATGCTTTTCACAGATCTTGACCGGCCTAGTGAGGATGTTTTCTCTCGAGATCTCTCAGATTTTCCATCTGTAGAAAATGGCACAGGAACAAACGATGAAGATGAATTAAGCCTCGGATTGCCCACTGAGCGCAAGAGGAAAAAGGAGCAGCTGGACAGGGGCCACGCAGCAAGCAGAGAGAGGCTATCAGCAGCTGGGCTCACTCTTCCTCTGAACAGTGACCAAGCCCTTCAGTTGATGAGCAGCCTGGCTGGGGACGTCATCACAGCTGCAGTGACGGCTGCCATCAAAGACCAGCTAGGAGGGGCTCAGCAGGCCCTGGCTCCTGCTGCGCCCAGCCCGGGCGAGGACACAGACACTGAAGAAGGGGATGACTTTGAACTACTTGACCAGTCGGAGCTGGATCAAATTGAGAGTGAGTTGGGACTCACACAAGAGCAGGAAGCGGAAACACAGCAAAACAGGAAGTCTTCCGGATTCCTTTCACATCTCCTTGGCGGCCATTAAGCTGGGACTAGGCTTGCAGCAGGCACAGGCTGCCACCAAAAAGTTTCAACCCAGCAAAAATAAAAAAACAAAAAAGAAAGAAAAAAATGGAAAAAAATTTAACTGTAAGCTTTAATGATTACTTTAGATTTTCTTTGTCTTATTTTCCCCTCTGCGGTGAATTAATTGGATATATATCAGCCAACACTGATAGATTGGTATTTCTGATAGTTATTTTTATGTAATAAGCATGGAAATGAACTTCATATACATATACACCATGTTGTCGGAAATATTAGGAGTTGTTTTTAAAGCAAAAAGAAAAAAAAACTCCAAACACCAAATTATTAAGATCCTTCTGTAAGTATTCTTTATAATTAATTTTCAAGCATGCAAAAGTTTATTGTAACTCATTGAAAATATTAACAATTAATTGTGACTATGTGCTGTATCAGCTCCCTTGTTCCTAATACTTGGAAATAATTTTTTAAAAAACTGGTAAATTTTGATGTAAAAAGACAAATTATCGAAGGATTGTTAGTTGAAGGACTTGGGAAGTATTATCAAAATTAGTGTCCTAGGAAAAATTTTAAAAATAAGACGTACAGATCGGCTGGAGCATCTCCACATGTTTTCTGCAGTTGTAGGCATAGGCGCACTTGCAAAGTGGCATCTTCTTGGCTGCCACCTCTGGTCGTGTGAAGGGTGGTCTTAACCCAGAGAAGTAAGTAGTTGTGTATCACATAGATGGAGGTTATGGTGTAACCAGAGATTCCGTTGTTTTGTTGCTCATTTTTGTCCTCTGTTTGTAATAGACATTGTGAGTGCAGATCTATTCTGCCCACTCACACTCATTGCTCATATTTTATATTGTGTCATGGAAAATGTCACCTAAAATTGTGAAACGAGTTATGGATACGTTCTAGGAATGATGTCATCATCTCAATAAAGAAATAATAACTTGTTTTCTTAGTCTGTATAGATAGAAAAGATAGCTGGCTTTAAAATATTTATTTGCTATTGAAGTCTACCTGTGTCACCTGTTTCTTATTGGGAAACTAGAATATATTTTTTTCCTTTGCCTTACACTTTTTTAGATCATCTTTTAATGGTCACATTTGGCTTACAGTTTTTAACAAAGGACTGAAAAGCAGAAACCAAGATAGTTTTGTTTTTGTGATATAGACTTTTAGTCGTTTTGAGTGAGGGACCATGTCAGCGAGTCTAAAACATCTCTTAAACCTTCAGATACGGCTGGCATTTCTACAGATGCACAGCATCTGAGACCCTCAGAAAGGAAGAATAATCTAACAGTATAGGAAATCTGTCTCCCCCTCCTTTCATTTCATGCCTTTTCTTACGTTTGTAAAGAACAACTCTCGGTAACTAATCTTGTATGAAGTATCTCTTATTTATATTTTCTTTCTGAGGTATTAAATTATCTAGACAGAATTTTGCCAAATGTTAAAGGGAAGAAAGTTCCTGAAGACTTTCAACACTTGCTTTTGTGATTGACTATACTTTCGTGTCGTTACTGCCTCCTGCTATGTTTGACGTCCTTTATTGATGGTATCAGGTGAGCCTGTGCCTTCATTCTCTTGCCCATTTCAGTACAAATGTAAACCTGTGTTAGAAAATCTCTGAACTGTGTGGTTTTGGAAGAGTATACCTCAATTCTTTTCAATAAGAGTTTCTGGACAAGAGGGGAAAAAATACAATCACATATTTATAAAATAGTCGCTACCAGGATTCTTTTTTTTTAAAAAAATGTGCGTTTCTTCATTTGAAAAATATTCTTGGTCACAAGGTCATAAAGTTTAAACATCATTTCAGTTTCTTCATTGAGGAGAAAATAAGAATTTCAATAACCAAATAATCAAAGATTATGTTATAAGTCACTGGACAAGCTTACAAGAAGATAAATTCAAGGGCTGGTATTTGTATGAACAATAAATCTAGAATAAACTGTTACAAACTACAAATTAAAATGGGTTTGGAGACAGCAGCAGTCTGCGGAGAGGAGCACTATGACTATACATCCATTTGATGGGTTTATATAAGAACTTGTGATTACAAATTTAAACAGTAATGGTGCTCTTCTCAAAACTTTTAAGTCGAATGAATGTAGGGATGCTGAAGATTCTGTGTGTGGGGCCATTGTTTCTGTTTTGCTATAGTACCAAATAAGCCGTATGACTGATCCAGTATGATAGGGGACAGTAAGTCCTTTACCATGAGAAATTAAATCAATAGCAGTATTTCTCCAGTATCTAAGACACTGATAAAGAATGAATGGCCTTTTCCTTGTGAGATCTAAGTGAAATGCAGTCATTAAAATGTGAACCATGGTTTTGCTCACTTCCTGTAGAAAGTGTGTAGCAGATGTGTATCATGTATTTTTCTCTGAAACAATAAAGTAGTGTGCTAAAGAAATTGAAATTCACTGGGCGTGGTGATGAACGCCTGTAATCCTGGCCCTTGGGAAGCTGAGGCAGGAGGATTGCCAAAAGTTCAAGTCCAGCCTGGGCTACATCGTGAATTCAAGGCCAGCCTGAACTACGTAGTGAACTACATAGTCTCAGAAAAACAAAACAGAGCCGGGGATTTAGCTCAGTGGTTCCACTGCCTGCCTCACAAGCACAATATCCCGAAAAAAAAAACAAAAGAGAAAAAAAAGAAGTTGAAGTTTACTTTGAAAGGTCATTCCATTTGAATATTCTCATTTACCCTAAAATCTTCAAAAGTGATTTTTTACAAAATGTCCCCCTCCGTAGTTTAGTAGAACATTACAATAGACCAAGATCCCAGCTCTTAAGTGGAATTAAGAGCATTGTGAAATACAGGATAAATAAATTGTCCAAGGTCATACAGCTAGTGAGGGGAAGAAACTGCCTGATCCCAAAGCCTATTCTCTTTATAGTTCATTGGAAAAATAATATTGTGGAGAAAACAATGCCCTCTTGAAGAGGAAAAACAAAGAAAACGGAGTGTTCAAAGATACTAAAATTCCTGGGAGGATCGTGAAAGAGTGGAGGAGGCAGGGAGGAAATAATTGCCTGAAGAATGCGTGCTAGAAGAAGCATACAGAAATGATAATACATAAGGAAAAGCAAAACCAGAAGTTCTTTACTTTTTACAGCTACCTATCTGCTTTATTTTTTAGGGAAGCTTGAAAATATATAGTTTTTCTTACTCCAGTTGATGATTAATGTTAGTTATATTTTTTAAACTGAGTATCTGTCTGGAGAGTGCGGCTACTTCAAAAGATTTTGGCAATCTAAGCCAAGCTTTCTGGAATAAAAACTACCACTGGACTTAACTTTTGCGCTGCAAAATTATTCTTTTAGCAAAATGGAACAATCTAGGTGCCCGCACTGTTCTTGCAGTGTGGCATACAGCCAGGAAGACTGCCCGCCTTCAGGGAGCTTGTATTCTAGATGCAGAAGACTAATGTGTGACTGGCTATTCTAGTTTGTCCAGGGCTGAGGGTTCCTTCCAATGCAGGGCTTCCAGTGCTGACTGGGAAATCAAGGATAAACAACAAATGGTAGCAGAAGCGTCTCAACATGGTCCCCAAAGACTGACCCACCCCACCCTCTTGATTTACAGTGGACCCTTCTCTTATGAACTCAGTTTGTTCCTTAGGGATGGTTGTAACTCAAGTTGGTCAATGAAGGCTCAGGCTCCTCTACACAACCTTCAAATTCGCTCTCCTGTGTACAGGCAGATCTCAGTGTCCTTAGACACTGGCCCAGGATTTCTCAATGAACCCCACACAGGAAAGGATGTTGTAATGTTCTAGAACTCTTCAAGGGTTCAATCTGTATCTGAGACCATCTGGAAGCACAAGCAGCTGGCATTCGGGTCATAACTCAAGACTAACTAAAATTCTAGTCATAACCCAAGTTTTTCATATGTCAGGCCAGTCGTTACTTGAGGGCCCATTGTACATCCTTTCGTGATCTCCTTCTGAGTTAAACGGGGCTGACCTACATCAGAGCACTCTAATAGTGGAAATAACTGTGACTTCTAGGGCTAGGTCATGAGGCAGACTGTGGCTCTGCTCTCTTTGGGGGAAAACAGTCACATCTTAGGCCATCTTACAGTCAAGCAGCCAAACGGCCCTATGTCAAGGTCCACCTGACTAAGAACCAAATCCTCTTGCTATCAGCTATGTAAATGAGTCCTTCTGATCCACCCAAGGCCAAACAGTCAGCCTGCAGTGACTTCAGCCCTGGCCCCATGTTCACTGAAACATCATGAAATGGAGTCAGAACCGCTCAGCTAAGCCACTCAAATGCCTGACCTGCAGAAACTGAGATAAAATTTGATGCCAAATTTGAGTTTAATTCGATACAGAGTAACAGATAACTGACAGTTTATGGAGGAAACATTCCTGGTAAGGATTTAAGAGTCAGGGTTAGGATTACTTTTTACTCTCTTATAAAGGCATTTGGGCATGGATGTAAAAAGTCAGAGAGCAAACCAGCAGAGAGATGTTCAGAGCAGCAAAGTAAAGCACTTGTGAGAACACCAACAAAACATACCTTGTTAGGAAAAAAAAAGTGTCACTGTGACAACCAAGGTGAGCCAGGTGGAGAACACGGTGTGGTAAAGATCAGAAGTAGGGTGGAGGTGTAGCGGGTACTCAAGGACTTCATAAAACACACAGGCAGGTTTTGAAAAATTTATTTCTAGTCAAGGGAAGCCACTGGAGGGTTCTGAGCAAAAAAAGCAGCACGATCTGACCTATTTTTTTTTTTTTAAAAAGTCTTCTCTCATCTTTTAGTGCCATTGACAGCTTGGATCTTGTTCGTGCAATGTTCAGTTCTGTAACAAAGCTGGTTCTAGTCCTACTAGGGTGTGCAGATGAATCTCTGAACTCCTCACGCCTTTGAGGCTCGTTTTCTATAAAACTGTGCTGTCTGGTGTACAGTATATGGGGTTACCTGGGGAACCAGCGCAGGAAATGGGTCAGTCCGAATTGAGGTAAGCAGTTAATTATAAAATACACCCTGGATTTCCAAGATTCAATGCCAACAGGAGAATCTCATTAATTTCTTTGGGCTGATTACCCGTTGACATGATATTTTGGATTGATTGGGTTAAATAAAAAGTATTATTAAAAGTAATTTTACTTTACTATTAGATTCGACACTACACGCGTGGTTTTGGCTGGGCTGTGCTGTGGCTCCCTTAGCAGGCAAACTTGGTGTTTTAGTTTCACCGACAGGACGGCCTCAGGAAGGCCTGGGCTCCCGCCCTGACGTCCGATTCCCGGGCGGCTGGGCAGTACCGGCTCCGACCCAGGGCTTTCGCGACATCGCTCCCGGGGCCCCGCGCGGGGTCTGCAGGGAATCCCGACCGCGCTCCTCGGAACTCACAGGAGTTCCCAGGGGGGGGCCGGCCGCCCCTCTCCCCACTCCTAGCACTGCGATCTCAAGCGCGTCACATCTGCCCGTCTGACCCCGAACTGTAGGCGGGTCACGGGGAGGGCGTGGCGCGCTCCCATTCACACCCACTCCGGGCGGACTGGGCGGGCCCAGAATGGGACCGGTCATTGGGCCCCTAAACTTCCGGGGCGTGTCCAAAGTGAGAGGCGGGACTTCCTGACCAGCTGTCAATATTTTCCGGCGTGCGCCGGAAGTTCCTGCAGCGGAAGTCGGGAAGTCAGGCGTTGGGGGGTTCTTCTTGTCCACCGAGAGGAGTGAAGGTCTTATATCCCGTGGGCCGCAACGCTGATCGCTAGATTCTCGGCTCATTCGCCTCTTACTTTTCGCCGAGCGATGGCGACGTACACCTGCATCACCTGCCGGGTGGCGTTCCGCGACGCTGAGATGCAGCGGGCCCACTATAAGACGGACTGGCACCGCTACAACCTGCGGCGAAAGGTGGCCGGCATGGCCCCCGTCACCGCCGAAGGCTTCCAGGAGCGAGTACGCGCGCAGCGGGCCGTGGCGGCGGAGGAGAGCAAGGGCACAGCCACCTACTGCACCGTCTGCAGTAAGAAGTTTGGCTCTTTCAACGCCTACGAAAATCACCTCAAGTCCCGGCGGCACGTGGAGCTGGAGAAGAAGGCCGTGCAGGCGGTGAATCGGAAAGTGGAGATGATGAACGAGAAGAACTTGGAGAAGGGACTGGGTGTGGACGGTGTGAACAAGGATGCCATGAACGCGGCCATCCAGCAGGCCATCAAGGCTCAGCCGTCCCTGTCCCCCAAGAAGGCGCCCCCTGCGCCCGCAGAGGAGTCCAGCGGGGCCGTGGCCGCCGGTGGGCGTGGGGCGCACGACCGAGACCCCGCGGAGAAACCGCCCCGGCTGCAGTGGTTTGAACAGCAGGCGAAGAAGTTGGCCAAGCAGCAGGGGGAGGAGAGCGAGGAGGAGGAGGAGGAGGAGGACCCGGATGAAGAAGGTAATGGCCCGGTTTGGGGAGGGAAAGAGGAAATTGGCCTTAAGTTTCTCAATTTAAACCTGAGGGCTGTGTGTGTGTGTGTGTGTGTGTGTGTGTGTGTGTGTGTGTAAGTGAAAATGAAGAGTGAAGGGGGTGTCCTCTCCGGCCCGCATCCTCGCAGGGAGTTTTGTCTTTTGGGCTCTCTATTGCACATTCAGGGCCTATAACAATACCTGGTTAAAATAAGTGCTTAGTTAATATTTGTAGGATGAACTGACATCGCATCCATTTTGGTTGAGGAACTTGCTGGCATCTGCATAGGAGGACGTGCTGTTGGCACACTGCTTGCAAAAATTTGTCATGCTAGTGGGTTTCCTGTTATAATGGGTTGGTGCTTAGTTTAGTGGATTAAAACTGAATGAAGGCCTCAAAGTCAGCTAGCAAATCTTAAAAGTGGAACTTGAGCCAGCAACCTAGCCTCTTTGATTTTATGCGCTATTTATTTCTTCTTTCCTCACCCAACATCCGATTAACACTGATAATGCAAGTTCATGTCTTTGTCCATCCGTGCCTCTAACAAAATACCTGAGGCCGGGTAGCTTATTAGCAACATAAATTTATTTTCCCTGTTTTGGAGGCTGACATCAAGGTGCCACCAGATTCACTGTCTGTCGAAGGCCTGTTCCGTGGTGGGCATGGTCGTGTCATTTCCACACGTGATGGAAATGGCAGAAGGGACTAGCTAGTTCCTAAGCCCTGGTTCATTCACGAGGGCAGAGCACCGATCACCTAGAAGGCCCCAGCTCTCGACACCACTACACTGATGCTTAGTTTTCAACAGGGAAGGACACATGCAGTCAGGGAGTTTGTGTCGCAGCTCACCGCCACCGAGCAGTTTGTAGAGCTGTTCAGCCATACGTGAGAGCCCTGAACTGTGTGTCCCGCACTGGGCTAGGTGCTGTGAAGCATAGGAAAGAAGCCCAAGACTGCTTCACAGAGGTCACTGTGTCCCAGAAGAGGAAGGTTAAGCAGGTTTGTTAGCCACGTGAACTCGTCTGTGGTCAATGCATGGCGACAGTTGAGATCTTGAAAGAGGAATTGGATCCCAGGCCCCCCAAATGTACCATTTACTATGAATCATTGTGCTGTCTTTGCACTTACCACTTAAATTAACTTTCTTTTTCAAAACTCTGGCTTGAAGATTGGGAAGATATTGATTCTGAGGAAGAAATGGAGTTGGAAGATGATGAAGGCATGGACGATGTGCAAGGGCCGAATGCCAAGGAAGGAGAAGCCGGAGAAAGCCCAGCCCTAGGAGCCATCCCAGTAACGGACTGTTTGTTTTGTTCCCATCATTCAAGCTCCCTGGTGAAGAACGTGGCTCATATGACTAAAGTCCACAGCTTCTTTATTCCTGACATAGAATATCTTTCTGACCTGAAGGGACTGATTAAATATTTGGGTAGGTGTGATATCTTTCTTTCTAATGAGGAAATAGCCTGTTATTGTTGGGCAGGTTTTTTTTTGTTTTTTGTTTTTTTCTGGTATTGGAGATCGAACTTGGGACCTTGTGCTTGTGAGGCAGGCGACGGAACCACTGAGCTAAATCCCTGGCCCTGGGGGACAGGTCTTAATGGAACATTATTAGTTTTGTGTTTGTCATCAGTCTCTGGTTTAATTACTTGCTTAGCTTGGGAAAATTAAAAACTTGGTGAATTTTTTTTTTTTTTTTTGGTATGGGGGACCGAACTTGGGACCTTGTGCTTGCAAGGCAGGCAGTGAAATGACTGAGCTAAATCTCTGGCCCAGTGAGTGGTTTTTGAATTGTAGAGGTGAATGGTGAGATTTGCTGTGGCTGAAAGAAAGCTTTTGTTCATATTTTTTCCTCAAATAATTTGAACAGGTGAAAAAGTTGGTGTTGGGAAGATTTGCTTGTGGTGCAATGAGAAAGGGAAATCCTTCTACTCCACGGAAGCTGTCCAGGCCCACATGAGTGACAAAAGCCACTGTAAGCTCTTCACAGATGGTGATGCTGCTTTGGAATTTGCAGACTTCTATGATTTTAGGTACGTCTGGGATCTGTCCTGTGAAGTGAACTGTGGTTGTCATGTTTCCATTGAAGTGATGTTGTACTCTATATTCTTAATAATCCATAGAATGCCTTTATCTGGGTTAAGAAAATCAGTTTGAGTTTAAGACATCTAGGAAAGAGAAGATCCCAGGCCTAAACTGAATTTTACGTGACTTTTGTAGTTTAATCATCAGGAGTTCAGTTTTGCTGATTACCTATGAACAGAGGTGTAGAAATTCGGTTATATGTTTCGAGTTCCTCAAGGGACCTGGAGTCACAGGCTGTTTCCTAAGATAGTTGAGATGGTGGCTAAACTAGGCCAGACCCTGGCATTTGGTGGTGAAGTTATCCCATAAATGGTTCAATCCTAACCAGCATCTTTAGCAGCTCGTACACTGTGCACCAGATCTACGCGGGGCGCTCATTCATGACTAGTTCCTGTTATCAGAATTCCTGTGAGGTAGTACAGCAGATAAGCAGCTGCTTCTAATGATCAAACCAGGCATGCACAGCCCAAATGATACTGGTGTTCAGAAGTCTTAGTCTTCTAAAATTTCTTTTTGCAGTTTCCCCCTGATTTCTCATTTTGCAGTTGAAGACTTACAGTTGGGCATAACTAAAGGGTTTAGAGATGGAAAATGGCCCACTGGGGGTGGAAGCATTCTCCAGGCAATAGCCAGTATTTATCCTCTCCAGTGTCCTGTCAGCAGTGTTTCTGACCCTTTCATCCGTTTTCTGATGAGAGTGGTCAAAGTGGATATCAGAGACTGAGGTGAGAGGCCGCAACCGGCAGTGGCTTGGAATGAAGCACTGAGCCCCTGTGTCTCTGCCCTTGGTCCACACCTACTCTCTGTATACTCAGGGCCCCACCCCGCTCAGAGATGTCAGTATCTCCTAGGCTGAGATTCCCAGAGCTGTAGCTCTTGTACAGCTTCCCCCTTCTCCCCAGACTATGTATCCAGCTGTCCTTGACTTTATCCGAAATCAAACTTACATGCATTGTAACCTGCTCCTCCCTAAGTAAGTGCTAATTCTAACCTTCAGTTACTTAAGCTAAAAGCCTTTTGGTCATCTTTTTAATTTTATTTCATGCTTACACCAATCTGTCACCAGATCCTCCTTTGTCTACCTTCGAGTTGTCTTCCGAATGTGTGTGACTGCTTCTCATCTCCTCTACTGTTGCTCTCTGGGTCCAGGTCACCATTGGTTTTCATGGGACTCATGCAGTGTCTCCTGCCTGGTCTCCTGGCTTCATTCTTACCACCTTCTACATTCTGTTCTTACAGGTAGCCACAGTGTGATTCTTTCAGAGCATTCAGTCAGATCAGATTCTGCTCCAAATCTTCAGGGACTTCTTGTCTTAAAGAAAAAGCCAAAGTTTAATAGCCCATATAGTCCTCCATGTTCTGGTCATTCTGGGCACAGCTATGGTTCCAATGTTTTCTAATTCTTGCTCTTTGGCTTTCTAGCTGTCCAAATGCACAGTGTGTTTCTCAGGACCTTTGTGCTTCCTGTTGCCTTTGGCTGTAACCTTTGCTCAGAAAGTCATAGGACTTGTCTTCTCACTTCCTGCAGGGCTGGGGCTGGTTTTTCTTTCCCAGTGTAGCCCTCCCTGACCACTTTTCATAAAATAGTAACACCTACCCAATCCGTTTCTCCCCTTTTGTTTATCCCTGTACCCTTTGCTGCCATTTTATCGATTATATGTTGTTTATTTATTGTCTCCTAGACTCTGTGGGGTAGGCCTTTTGTTGTTGTTTCCTAACATTGCCCACACTGTCAGTTTGAATGAAAATTTATAGCTGACGTTAATGGTTGAAGAAGTGAATTTCTGAGTGCAAATGTTGCCGTTTTGGACTTAGTTTACAGAGCTGACTCTGTTGGTTCCTAGAAATGAGAAATGGTACAAGCCTTCATAAAAATGAATATTAAATGACTTATTTACTCAAAAAACTTGATAATGCTCAACTTGGAAAATGGAAAATCTTCATGCACAAAACTAGTGTTTGTTGGGTGCTTATTACCTTTCAGACACAAGCATATTATGTGGATTCACCTCATTAGAAAATGAACAAATTTCCTGTAATTCCATCCTTGCTCCCAAGTAACTAGGGTCAACTCATGTTGACTTGAAATTTTATACTGAAGAATAAACTTGCAGAAAAATACATTAACATACACATATGACACCTAGTTCAGCACAGTGAAATTTTAAATATAACAAACATCCACATCAAGAAACAAAATATTAATAATACCTTGACATTTCCCTTGTGTGTATTTCTAGGAATTATCCCTCCAGACTCCTAGAGTAACCACCATTCTGACAAGCTAGGCTTGTCATCTTTTTGTACCTCACAGGAACAGGAGTGCAAAGAAATCGCCCTTTTCAGCCCGGCCCCCTGTTCATTTTACCTTTGTGGGACTCACACGTGTTGTCTGCAGCTGTGGCTCATTCCTTTTCGCTGTCAAGAGGGTTGTGTTACGTGTTAGGTGGTCCCTGCTGAGGCTATCACAGGCAGTGCTGCTTCCTCATTCTGCAGTCTGGCAAATTTGTGCACGTTATCTTGGTGTATATTTTTAGGAGTTGGGCCAGTTTTAGAAGTTGTTCAGTTTTAGAAGATGCTGTCAAATCATTTTCCAGAGTGACTTTATACTCCCACTTTGAGGGAGTTTTTCATTTTGGCCGCTTTGGTGGGTGTATAGTGGTTTTAATTTGCATCTCTCTCATGATCAGTGTAATTGAGAGTCCTTTGTGTATTAATTGGCCATTTGGAGATCTTTTTATGAGGTATCTAATCGAGTCTTTTATATATTTTTCCATTGGGTTATATGGCTTTATGTGCATTTGTCAAACTGTTTGCCATCTGTGAGTAAATAGGAATTTGTGAACATTTCTGGGAACAGATTCTTCTAGAACTTCATGTCCAGTGCAATAATGACTAGCTACACCTTTGTGACTATTTAAATGAATAAAAGATAAGTTTAAAACATTCGGTTCTTTATTCATATTATATTACCTGAATTCTGAAGTTGAGTGTTTCACAGCCCACATGTCTAGAGCTACTATGTAGGACACAGAGACATAAAATATTTCTATCAGCACAGAGTCTGTTTAGTGCCACTGTTCTAGAATTTGTTTCTACAGTGGTTAATTTGACTAGAGCTGCATGTCCTGTTTTTTATTCTTCCTCTGCATTTGGTAATCTAGGGAGAAACAAATAGGAAAAATTCTTTTATAGGTCATTTGCCCACTTTCACTACACAGAAATTCAAACAGATTGTTTTCTCCAACACCATTCAACTGCAAGTCTCTATACCTTTTTTAAGTAGCTCGTGAGTTTGCCCATTTGCTAATGCCATTCCTGTTTTTAGTCAAATTTGAGGTGGTCTATTTAGTAACGGCATTTCCCTGTTTCAGGAGTAGCTACCCAGATCACAAGGAAGGGGAAGACCCGCATGGGACGGAAGAGTTGCCTTCAGAAAAGCACTTGGAATATGACGACGAGACCATGGAGCTGATTTTGCCCTCGGGTGGGTGCATTTGTCAGATACAGGCCTGAGAGGAGGACTTTACTGTGGAGAGGCGGGGCTCCCTCAGTTCCCTGCCGTCCTCACGGAACATTTAGCTTCATGGGCTGGCGAACTCTGAAGTGTAGATACTTGGAAAAGATTGCATTCGTGTCAGAAAAGTATAGAAAGTTTTTCTTTGTTATTATTCCGGAAATAATACAGTTTAACAACTATTTTCATAGCATTTAACATCACTTTGGATATTAAAAGTAATCTAAAGGTGATGTTAAGTATACAAAAGGATGTGTATAAGTTATATGCAAGTATGGTGGCACTGTGTGTGTGTGTGTCTAGGGATTGAATCCTGGGACTCACTTATGTTAGGCAAACATCCTACCACTGAACTGTACCCCTAGCCATTTAAAATTTGTTAAATTTCAAGGCAGCATCTTAGCAAGTTAGTTGCCCAGGCTGGCCTCGAACTTGAGACCCTCCTGCCTCCGGCTCCTAAGTAGCTGGATTACAGGCATGTGCCCTGCACCTGTTCTGTAGCACATTGTAGAAGGGACTTGAGCGTCCTTGGATTTTGGTGTCTGAGGGAGAGGTCGTGGAACCAGTCGCCCACAGATCCCGAGGGGTGATTTTATGTTGGATGACTTAGTTTTCAAGACTGGCTGGCCCCTCATCTCACCAGCATCCACTTTTACGCTCAGGCAACAGCAGACCCAGATTCGTTGTGTAAGCCAAACTCTTAAAAAGCTGTCGTGCATAGTAGTCGCTATGTTTGCTTCAGCTTGCATTTATTTTAGCACATATTACACAATGTTTATAATAACAAGAATATCCTGTTGGAGAATTATAATATATTTGAGAGAAGTTTTCATCTGAATTTTAGATTTTTGAAACTTAAAAAATTAAAAAATCAGGAATCCTCAGCTATGTAGACAGTACTTTTTCATAGGGGGATTGCATTTCTAGGGTTAACCAAAGCCAAAATGGGTATCTTTTAGGTTACTCCCCTCCCACATCTGCATGATTTGGCACTGCCTAAATATCTTTTGGATACATTTGTCCTTGTTTTCTCTCTGTCCATTTGTCTGTGTCACCATTAGGACTTCCTGCCGGGCCATCTTCAGTCTGATTTCCTCCGCCCCAGAACATTCTGTGTAGACTCCATGTGTGTGCATTACTCTCTACTGCCTGCAGGGGGAGCCGTTGGCTGCCGGGTGACTTCCATCTGTCAGACCTGTCCCTGGGGGGTCCTGTGCTGCTCCTGTCCACCCACTTGCAGGGCCCTGATCTGGGTCTGTGTGTGCGGTTCCTATCCTTCTCTCTGGTCCTGTGAGCCCGGGAAGCCTTCCTGAGCTTCAGCTGTTCTGCTGAGTGAACACTTGTGTCTGCTCCCGACACTTGCCTGTCTGTCCTGACTTCCACCTCATCCCTGTGTGACTCCTTTTCCCCATTACTTTGATGAATATATATATATAGAAATATATCTCAACACAGAGTCACTGTGCATATGGATGCAGTGCAGTTGCCATCTCAAGATGGCCACACAGTGTTCTCTGATCCATTCAGAATAATAAGCATCTCTGTCCACTCAGACAGAGGTCATTTTTGTGTGTCAGGAACACTAAAGTCTTCCGTTAGCTATTTTGAAATAATTGTCACCCACCATTGTTATCCCTGTGCTGTGCAGTGGTGGAAGCCAGTCCTGTCCAGCTTCCCACTGCTTCAAAGACAAAGCTGCTTCTTTCTCTCTTCCTCTCAGCTCGGGGGCTCCGACATGCAAGAGCCAGATAGATGTTTGTTGGCTGAGCAGGCAGAGGTGTCTTCTAACAGGAAGGCAGGGTCAGTCCCCCGGCAGTGGTGGGAAAGGAAGAGGGTTGGGGTCGCACAGGGCTCAGACTCCAGTTGTCTGCATCGCTGAGTCCTCAGAGGAGACTGCTTGGCCCCGTGTCATGCGATCGAAGAGGAAAATGGCCTAGATGAGCTGGTTTCTTGTTCACAGCTGTGGGTCTACTTTCTAAGTCTTGTCATTTGAAAGACGATGATAACTTCAGGACTGGGGAGTGGTCAGGTGACTGGTTGAGTCTTAGAGAACTGCAATACGCTGACCTTTAGACAGACAGACCCAGGACAGATGTAACCAACAGCCAGAAACTGTGTCACACCCCAAGCGTTCTTAAGTAAGCTGTGCACAGTTTTTTTCCTTGTGGGCATGTATATTTTTGCGGGGAGAGGCCGTAGCTTACTGAAAGCCTCTGTGACTTAGAGAAGATTGGGAGCCACAGATGCAAATCTGTTTCTCAGATACAAAACCCGGTCATCAAGGTGACTGAGGCCCTGAGACTGGATTTTGTGTAAGTGGCAGCAAATACAGATTTCTGAGTAAAGACGAATCCACTGACATGCAGACCATATAGACTGACACGGTGCTTTTATTGTTACCTGTATTAGCCTCTCACATTTTAAAAACCAGTCGTGCTTTGGTCCATCATGTTTGCAGTGAGACAGGACAGTCTGTTGGTTTGGTCTTGCACCTCGGTAGTGGTTGAGAAGTTTGTAATGAACCAAGAAATGCTGATCTAATAGTATATAAGAATGTAGCAGCAGTGAATTTATTCACCTGTTTGTCTCTGAACACATTTACCCCTCGGAAACCTCTTCAGTTTGCTGTTTTGTATGACTGAGTTAGTGTAGATGTTATATTGAAGCCAGTTTGATAAGGGTACTAAGGTCTAGAACTTACTGATATTTAACCAGCTACACTTAAGAGTTTGCTTAAGCTGATTTGAAAAGCAGCAGTTGAGATATCCTAAGTCTAGTTAGTAAAACCTGCAAGCCCATGATCCCAAAGGCAGTGACAAGAGCGTCCAGTAGAGGGGGCCGTGAGCATTTCTTTGGAAGGTTGGCCTGGCTCAGTTCCTGGCATTCCGTTCATTGCTCTTCAGCTCCTGTGGAGGAAGCTGGTGTGAACTAGACGTTGCTTTAGCTGTGGATTAGCTAGATGAAACTGTCGCTGCTCTATGAGAATTGCATAGTTAATCTTGAGAAAATTACAGTAGTTCTAGGTGGTTTTTTTTCCAGTATCCAGTGGCATCCGTTGGCAGGCTGTTTTTAACAGGAATGGACAGTGTAGTCAGCAGCTGTGATATGGGAAAGCTGGACAGGCAGCTCGTGTTCACTGTGACTCAGACACGACCAGCCTGCAAGTCATGGGGCGGTCATCACACTGTGAGGCATTTCCTTGTCCTGGGCTCTGCTTAGCACTTTACACTTGGGGCTAACATCAGGTACCGTGTCACTGACAGAGCTGGAGGAGCTCCCGACACTGTCCCCTTCTCTGCCAGCTCTTGGAAACTGAGATGTGCTTCTAAATGTTGCTTAAGAAAGTGTATATTGTGTAGTTATTACTAACATTATCATTTATGGGTTGGGGATTATTACCATTGCAAACCTGAACCTTTACAATCTAACAGTGGAAATAGAAAATCACCGTGAGGAATGCTGGGGTCTCCTCGTGGGTCGTCCGCTGGTGCTCCGTTCCTGTGGCCCAGGAGGCTCGTGAACGCCTGTGCCACCGAACAGTCAGGCTGAGGGGAAACACCTCATCCATGTTGGCATCTACATGCCATGGTGAAAGGTTCTTTTCTCATCTCCTGAGTGTGATCACAAACCAGGCACTGAAAGCAGCCACTTTTCTTTTTTAAAAAATTATTTATTTATTAATTTTGGTACCAGGGATCGACCTTGGGACCTTGCACTTGTGAGGCAGGTGGTGGAACCACTGAGCTAAATCCCCGGCCCAGTAGCCACTTTTCTGTATTCGTGTGGCAAGTAAATTCCTTCCACATGTCTTGCCAGGTATAGGGACTTAGAATAACCTTGACAGTTTTTTCTCCCAATTTAAAGTTCTGTATCCTAAGAGCAAGTACAGCCTTCCACTCACGGTCTGTTTACCCAAAGCATTCTGAGAGATTGATATCCATGTGAAACCCTTCTAGCAACCTCACAGGGTTCCCTTACTACTCATTTTCAGTGGCAGTGGCTGCTGTGTGGCTCGTGTGTATGCTGTGAGCGTTCCATACATGTGTGTCTGTCTGGGAAGGTTATTAGGTTACGTCTTAGTTAATATTCTTGGCAAAGCTCATATATATTAGTAAGCCTCAGCTGGCACTGGTTTCTCTGGCCTAGAGGCACCTCTCGAGTGCCATGGCCCCGATGGAGCCTGGAGCTGGCACCCACGAAGCCTTTCCTTTCCGGTTTCTTCCAAGACTCAGACTGGGGCATTTTCCTTTGAAGGGCCAGAGAGGCAAGAGTCTAGGCCAGTGATGGCGAACCTTTCAGAGCTGTCAGTGATAACGAACAGCCCGCCGTGGCCCATGTGCTGTGTGTTTGCCACCACTGATTTAGGGTCACCCTTCTAGGACGACAGCAGCTGGACAGAATACATACAGGGACGGAGAGGCTGGGTCCTAGTTAAACAGGCTGACTGGGTGGATCGGAAGCACTAAGCAGGGCTCTCAGCCTCAGCACTGTTGACAGTTTGGTCCAGTGAGGCCTTTGTGAATGGGGGCGGTCTGGTGCACTGTAGATGTTTATAGCACCGCTGGGCTCTGGCCACTAGAGGCCAGCAGCACTCTAGTTGTAACAACCCAGATGTCTCTAGTGAGTAGCAAATGTCCCCGTGGGGTAAACATTGCACCTGTACAGAAGAGCTGCAGTGATTTAAGCAGAGCACGGGTGGATCAGTTCTGCTCTGGACTCTGACCGAGGTTTGTAAACCTAAGCATCATCTTTCTTTTAAAAAAAAAATTCTCAAAATCCCTTACCTCCTTATCCTTTTCTTTGGAATTAGTATAAATATTGTATGTTTGTAAGTACAAGACCCTGATTTCATTGAGCAGCGACTTGCCATTCTCTTTTTAAAAATCTACCCTTGGCTTGCTCTTTCTTTGTTTTACTCTATATTTTTTAAATGCCGTTTCCTTTTTCCCTTGTTACTAACACTGTTTCTTTGGGCGCATCCGTCTTCCAGCTCTGTACCCTTGAAGATCGGATTTGGAAAGCCCTCCTCCCCTCACAGCTCTGCCTGGACAGAAGCATCCGGCCCCCTGTTTACATATCGCTCTTTTGAACAACAGGTGCCAGAGTGGGTCACCGCTCCCTGATGAGGTACTACAGGCAGCGATTCGGCTTGTCAAGAGCTGTGGCCGTGGCCAGAAATCAGAAGGCCGTGGGCAGGGTCCTGCGGCAGTACCGAGCGCTGGGGTGGACTGGCAGCACAGGTAGGAGCCCGAGGACTTGGCCTGCATATGGCGCTTGAGTGACTGCTCCATTGGCCCGGGGGGTTTCCATCACACTTTCCATGTCCGTTATGGCTGTGGCAGTAAGAAAAGACTCCTTGACTTAGGAACTTCCTATTCCTGGCTAATATCTTTACAAATACCATTAGCTTTTTCAGAAGCTATTTGTTACAAAAAGAATATTTAGTTGGCATTACAGCTGAAATTATCCTGGAGGCTGCACCAAGGCATTAAATAGCATCCGGTGGTGAACGGCTTGAGCCATGGAGTCGAACAGACTTAAATGATGCTCACGTGATGAGCGTAGGTAACGTAATTAATCTAAGCCTCTGTTTCCTTGCCTGTTACATGAGATGCTAATGGAAGGACCTGCCTCTCCGCCGAGTGGGCTGGTTGTAGAAGCCACATGGGATACAGGGCGTGCACAGTGGAGTCAGCCTTCAGCCCCCTTTTGCAGTTTTTCCGTAGAAAACTTAGATTCAGATGATTAAAGCTGGGCCCTGAAAGTTTTAAGCTTTGAAGCCTCCTCAGTGTGATGCTGTTTGTTTTGATGACTGGTGTGTAAAGCTGGTTTTCCTTCGGTCTTCAGGGAGGGTGTGGAATTAGCTGGAGGACAGTGGGGGATATGAGAAGAGTTGCTTTCTGATGGTCTGGAAAGCGCTGGGCACAAAATCCATTCTATTTCTTTTTGTTTGTTTGTTCATTTCTCTCTTTGAGACTGGTTCACTATGTGTTCAGTCTGACCTTGAACTCACTGTATAGCCCACTTGGCCTTGAACTCGAGATGATCCTCCTGCCTCAGCCTGCTGAGTGCTAGGATCACAGGCCTGCAGCACCACGCCCAGCTCAGAACCCATTCTAAGTGCTCTGTAGAGATGCTTATGCAGAGAAATGGACATTTACCGAGGTGCATAGGCCCCCGAGGCCCGTGCTGGGATCCCCATGTCAGCAGCCCTCTGTATGAGAAGCCTAGAGGGGCAGGCCCTCACCTGCTTCTCGAACCTTGCCCCTTGCAGGCAAGGCCCTGGCGCGAGAGAGGGACATGCAGTACGTCCAGAGGATGAAGTCCAAGTGGATGCTGAAGACTGGCATGAAGAACAACGCCACCAAGCAGATGCACTTCCGGGCCCAAGTGAGGTTCTGAGTCTGCGGCCTCGGGCGTCTCTGCGAGAGCTTCTGAGGACTGCGGGGCCTGCCATGGGGAGACCCTTTCGCAGCCGTTTATTTATTCTGTCCCTGTAATAAAAGTCGGAATCACACTGGTTTTCAGACAGCGTCTTTGAGCAGTGTGTCAGGCAGATGTGGAATCGCTGGCATGTGTGCTGGACCCTGGGACTGACGCTTGCTTGTCATTTGCTTCCTTGCCTCCGATTTTGCTGACTTGTGTCTCTCAGCAAGCTTACTGTGGGAAACCAGAGTGATTTATCTACTTCAGAACTGATTCTCAGAGTAACTTGCCACACGGTGGGACCTTCCTCAGGGGCTTTGAGGCTTATTTAGGAGCAAAATTGGCTGTCACAGCTCGTGAGGTAGCGTGTTTCTGGACGCATCGTAAAACCTAGGCAGAGTAAAGAGCAGCCAAGGGCTTACTGGATGGGAGTTCTGTCCCTCAGTGTGAAGACTAGAATGGCAGCACCAGGCTCTCAGAAGCCCTGGCAGGTGGCTGACACAGAGGTAACATATTCTTTCTGCCTTCTTTAGTATGAGCTTGTGTTTCACTGAGTATAAGCACATTTTCTGACTCTTCACTGTGAGGCGTCAGTTACTAGTATTTTACATAGGAAATAAGGGACAGTCGATAACTTTAAAGGAGACAACAGAAGGAAGCCAGGGACTATGCCCGTGCCAGTATTCTTGAGTTCTGCAACACTGCACTTGTGCAGTGACCCTGTCCATCAGAGGGGAGGTGGAGCTGTAATGTCTTACTCAAGTCCATTAAATTTGCAGCAGCTATGCAAAAAAGCTCATTCTAAATCTAGGATACGATCTAGTGTCTGCATTTATGAAAACACCTTTTCATGATTAAAATGAACAGTTTTTGCTTCCTACTGGTTTCAGTTATTTGTAAGCTGTTGTCCACCATAGTTATCATTCCTAATCTAAGATGCCATTGGACATCACTAATTGGGAATTCATAATAATTCACATGCAGGAGGCCAGGTAGGAGCTGTGTTGCCAACTCTCAATGTTCAGACTGTTTTTGTGAGAGAATTCTTGGCAGTCCTGGAGAAATTTGTGTTTTGAAAAATTTGTATCATTTGGTTCAGCCTCAGTTACAGCTGGCACATGAACTATTTGTGATGCTGAAACTGGTTGAGATGAAGAAGATTTGATTAGCTTGTTATTGCTGCAAACATTTGAGTCTTACAATGGCAACTTCCTGGTCATTTGTGGAACAGACTGTTTCTCTAATCTGTTCTCTCCATCCTCAGAATGTGGCTTTCCAGCCAGTGCTGTATTTCTCAGCGTCCTCTCCAGCAAGGTGTGGTCATATGACTAAATTTGGGCCAGTGGTTGTGCACAGAGAGATGGATGTAATTTAGTACAGATTAACTCTGAGACAAGCTGCCTTTAGATGCTGCCTCATTTTCCTCTCATAAGCTGGAGATGAGGTGTCCCATTGTTTCCCAGGCAGATAAGGACAATACTTTAGGGGATGGCAGACATGGATTGAGCCTGGTTTGCTAAATGTCAAGATAAAGTAGTGGTGCCCTGCCAACCGGACTTGGCTGGATGTTAATGTGACATAAACTGAAGTCATTATACTGTGTAGTTTGTGCTACCGAAGCCTAGTTTATAATCTAATAGGGTAAAGCCCCAGATACTGCTAATGTAACTTAGTATAATGCAGATTTGCTTAAAGTGCAATTGCCAATTGCTATTTCTTATATTCTTCCTTCCCTCCGTTCTCAAACAGCTGGGCTAATTGTAAAGCAGGATTAGGTTTGGAGACGGTAGGAAATAAAAGCCTCACGAATCGGGATTTTCGCAGGTCAATATTTTCAGTATTGTCTCTGATTTCTTTTGAAGGCCATACATGCTGAAAAATATATTTTTCTTCAGTCTCTATGGCAGTTTTACACCATGCCTGATAATTCTTGGACACCTCTCTCCTGGAAAGGTGGGGTCTGTCTCCCCTTCCCTTGGTGGTAGGCCAGCCTTAATCTCTCATGACTAATAAAAAGACAGCAGAGTGATGCTTTGGACTCCTAGAGGTGGTCACCAAATGCAAGTCAGGGCTCACCTTGGACTTGACCAAGAAGTCTGACAGTTCTGAGAAGGTCATGGTGGGTGGATCCCAGACCACATGGAGAGAGATTCGTGGCTGCTCCAGTTGACATTTCCAGCCGAAGTCCCAGCTGCAGCCACCACCAGCTACTAGCATCTGAGGACAGTGTGCTGCATGTCCTCAGCAGCTGAGCCCTCAAAAGCTTGCGGCCCCCAGCAACCTCTGACTGCAGCCTCTGACAGACCCATTGAGGACTTCCCAGCTGAGCCTTTGCAAAACTCTTAACCCATAGAATTGGTGGCCATAAAAACAAACAAACAAGCGCAGTTGTTTTCTACCCCTAAGTTTATACAACAGCAGTAAGTGGAATCCCAGCATTACACCACCACATGTTTTGCATGGTTGAATGTTTTTGTTTCCATTTACCACCTTGGGGTGGAATTTCCCGTGAATACGATTTTAAAGGCAAGGACTTTATATACATTCTATCGCCTTGTTTAATTTTTACAACACCCTTAAGTCAGCAGAAGACTGCAATTGTCAGTTCCATTTTCCAGCTGAGGACGCTGGGGCTAATAGCCTTGGGTCATGCCTGCCCTTAATCACCATCCTCTCTGGAGTGGATGACATAGGGAATTGGCCTAAATCATGTCCCACCAGGTGGCTGCATTCCCACTGTGGTTATATACCGGAGTCTGGGTGCTTGGCTGCAACAAACTTGTCCCTGGAACACAGGAATTGGCAGAGGAGGGAAAGCATATTAGCATATTTCACCAAGTGTGTGTGTGCTGGCCACTGTGTTACTTTGCAGAGTGTAACTGCTTACAGCAACTGAAAATCTTTTAGTCTGAACTGTTTGCTGAGAGAGCATGATGCACTTCTTCAGAAGAGATCTATATTAAAAGCATTAAGTCTATACTAACAACATCAAATCTATGTTTCTTAAAGAAATCTGCAGTTTTGATTTCACTGAATAAGAATGCCAATAAATGAGGGATTTTAGTTTTTCTGAAGAGATTTTTATAATGCTTTGTGCCAGAGAATGAGAATATTAAATTTACACTAAATAGAGTAAATGGAGGGCTGGGGATTTAGCTCAATGGTTCCACTGCCTGCCTCAAAAGCGCAAGGTCCCGAATTTGATCCCCAGCACCAATAAAATAAATAAATAAATAAATAAATAAATAAATAAATGGAGTGAATGGAAACTATTTTAACATTTATGCCTTAAATATGACTCTGGTTCCAAGATGTCTTTCCTATTTTTAATTCAAGTAAATGAAACCTATTTGGATAATTTAGTCTCTTTATCTTGAAACTTTGGTGGGGGTTCCTGGGAATACACACACACACACACACACACACACACACGCACACACACACATTATGTAAGAATTCAGTGAGAAAAGCTAAAACAAAAACAGATGGTGTATGTGATTTACATAGGTAAATTCATTTGGTCCTCACAACAACTTTATGAAGTAGGTACTACATTATCCCTGTCTCAATCATTTTTCTTGCTGCTGAGACAAAATATCCGATACTCAAAGTTAAAGAAGGAAAGGTTTATTTAGCTCATCACAGAGGAGAAACAGTTCATGGTGGGCAGAAGGCAGCAAAGCAGCAAGGAAAGATCACTGCTCTTTCTGTCCCTTGTGTCTTATCCAGGCTTCTTAGGATGGGCAGCACCCACACCCTTATTGTAGTGCCCTTGATCCTAGCTTGCACCATGAATCAATCCCAGTGTCACTCTAGATTCAGGCACCTCTGAGAAGCCCCCCCCCCCCCTCCATGAGTGCATGAGGCTTTGGAGGACATCTGGACACAAGCCATAACATTCTGACCCTGGCCTCCCAAAGACTCATGCACCTCTCTCTTCTTTTACAATTAATTTTACTGGTACGTGTTAGGTATACAATAGAATGACATTCATCATTGGGAATTTGCACCTTTACATAATCTCTCTTGGCTCTCATTTTTCCCCATTTCATGTACCTCTCTATGCAAAAGGCATTAGTCCATCTCCAAGAGCTGCCAAAGTCCTAACAGTTTCAGCACTGCTGAAAAGTCCAAGTCCAACATGTCCTCTGAGATGTAAGGCAAACTTAGCTGCAAGCCTCTGTACACATGAAAAGAAAGTTAAACACTTCCCACATGCCATGGCACAAGATAGACATTTCCATTCCAAAAGTTACAAATAGGGGGATAGCAAAGAATGGGAACAAAGCGAGACCAAAATCCAGCAGGGCAAACAAATCCCACAGTTCCACTTCCAGGATCCCTGGCAATCTGTGGCAAGTTGTGGCTCAGGTGGGTGGCTGACCAGTGCTGAGCTGGAACTGAGGAAGTGGAGTCCTCAGGTAGTGCAGGGCAGCACATGCTGATGTCCCACAGGCACTGCCTTGGCAACCTTTCCCTCAAGGTCCTACCTTGCTTCAGAATCTCCGGAAAATGGCTCCAGAGTCACTCTCCCATTGTTTTGTTGACTAGAACCTGGTTTTCTTCTATCCATATCGATCTCTTTTAACAATTTGATTGGCTATGATCTTCGTATTCTTTCCCGAACACACTGTTTTATTATTTACATGGCTAAGCTGAGAGTTTTCTGAATCTTTTCATTGTGTAGCTATGAAGTTCATCTTTCAAGCAGTTCTCTCTTCTCTTGTTTACTTGGGAGCATCACCTTGGATGCTTTGTACGTCTTCCACCAGATAGCCTAGCTCACCACTCTTAAATTCTTTCCATAAAGCCCAAGGCGTGCACATAACTTCCTGAAGCTCTTTGGTTCATATGATATGGATGGACTTTATTCACCAGGTTTTAATGCCTTATCCTCATTTCCGTCTGACACATATCAGAATGGTCCTTCCCACCCATATTTCTACTAATAATCTGATCAGGGGCCAGGGATTTAGCTCAGTGGTTCTGCCACCTGCCTCGCAAGTGCAAGGTCCCGAGTTTGATCCCTGGTACCAAAAAAATAAATAAGTAAATAAATAAAAATCCAATCAGACCACTCAAGAAACCCTTAAGAAAGAAT